AATAATCAATGCGCTGATAAGACATAGGAGTAGACATAAAACCGTGAGGAAAAATGTTGAGGCGACACTAGAAGGAGAGTCTATTCAAAGATTCGTCGGAGGCGGTTAACAACCTACTGCAATCCGTAGAGGGTGGTGGATGCAAAGTTAATGCTTATGCGGATGATGTCGCAATTGCCTTCACTGGAAAAGTTTACATAGACTCTATGCGATCGCATAACGGACAAACTGAGGGTTCTCAGAATGGGCAGATAAGTACGGGCCAGGAGAGAATCCATCCAAGACCGAACTTGTCCTCTTCACTAGGAGGTACAAACTACCAAGTTTAAAGCTTCCATGCCTATCAGCGGATTCTTTTTCACTCAGTGGTAACGACAAGTAAGTAGGAATTACGCTACACAGAAAACTGGACTGTAAGCTATTTAGCTTCTGTTGCGGGAATTCGAAGCTTTTTAGGGCCGCCCGAGTAAAGACGCCCGTGTAGATGCTGATAATTTTTTTATTTTTTTTTTATCGTTGCGTTTATTTCTTGAATCTTCTCTTTGCGAGACTAACAAGAGGTGTATTAAATCTTATATTTTTAATCAATCACAACTGTATATAACCCCTTAAAGCTATCGTCTTGAAACTTTGCACACACCCTTCTTTCCTTTCCACGCAGTATATAAGTCGGAACGGCCGACTATATCCTATAGCTGCCATAAAACTGATTGATCGGAAATGGTATAAATTTGGTGTTTTTAAAGTTAGGGAGTCAAATTTGATATGAGAGTTATTTTTGGCAAAACATTACGACATGCCAAATTTCAAAAGGATCGGCCGACTATATTCTATAGCTGCCATATAACTGAACGATCGGAAATGACCCAATTTTCGTGTTTTTGAAGATAGAAATCTGTAACTTAATACAATTATATTTTTGGTCAGATAATCCGACCTACCAAATTTCATAATGATCGGCCGACTATATCTTATAGCTGACATATTACTGAACGATCGGAAATGGTTTTTGGTAGAAATACCAACTTTGGAATTTTTGAAGAAAGAAGTTTGGGACTTTTTTTAGATTTTGTATTATAATAAATTGGGTTACATTATCATATTCTCATAAGGATCAGCCAACTATATCCGATGTTTGCGATATATATCCGGTTTTAACTGCAAGGGTATATCAACTTCGGCTTCGCCCGAAGTTAGCTTTACTTTCTTGTTATACCCTTGCAGAGGGTATTATAATTTTGGTCAAGAGTGTGCAACGCAGTGAAGGAGACATCTCCGACCCTATAAAGTATATATATTCTTGATCAGGATCACCTCCTGAGTTGATATGAGCATGTCCGTCTGTCCGTCTGTCCGTCTGTCTGTCCGTCTGTCTGTTTCTACGCGAACTAGTCTCTCAGTTTTGAAGCTATCGTCTTGAAACTTTGCACACACCCTTCTTTCCTGTGCACGCAGTATATAAGTCGGAACGGCCCGAATCGGCCGACTATATCCTATAGCTGCCATATAACTGATTGATCGGAAATGGTATAAATTTGGTGTTTTTAGAGTTAGAGAGTTCAAATTTGACATGATAGCTATTTTTGGCAAAATATTACGACGTGCCAAATTTCATAAGGATCGGCCGACTATATCCTATAGCTGCCATATAACTGAACGATCGGAAATGACCCTACTTTCGTGTTTTTGAAGATAGAAATCTGGAATTTAATACAGATTCTATTTTTGGTCAGTTGATCCAACCTACCAAATTTCATTAGGATCGGCCGACTATATCCCATAGCTGCCATATAACTGAACGATCGGAAATGGTATTTGGTAAATATATCAACAACGTATTTTTGAAGATAGAAGTTTGGGACTTTTTTTAGATTTTGTATTGTAATAAATTGGATTATATATTCCTATTCCCATAAGGATCGGCCAACTATATCCGATGTTTGCGATATATATCCGGTTTTAACTGCAAGGGTATATAAACTTCTGCTCCGCCCGAAGTTAGCTTTCCTTTCTTGTTTTTGGTTAAATTTGCACTTGGCTGATCTACCGAAAAGCACCTGGTCAAGAGGGGCAACATCATTTGGGAGCGCAGTTGAGAGAGAGAGCGAGACAGAGCATGGGATAGTGTATAAGGAATAGTAAATGATTAAAGATTGAGAAAAATTAGGAAAACACAAAAACATTTTTATTGTAATTGCCCTATTCGCCGATGCTCATATAATTACATATCTTCTTCAAATTAGTTTGAAAAAAAAATTATTTTTATTTGAGTTCAGATTTGATAGAGTATGATTCTTTAAAACAGCTTAGAACTTCAGAATTTTAGAACTAACTTAACTTTGGGGCTCTAAGTCCTTTTTACACGTACCCTTGCTGAAGCTTTTTGCAGATCAAAGCTTCAACGAAGCTTTTATGTCTGAGAGGCTTTGTTCTCTGAAGAAAGTCGATTGAGTCGGAATCTATTACTTGAGGTGTCAGTTGACGTGGAAGGCTTTGGATCTCAATTTAAAGAGGTTACAAGAAAAATTTGAAATTTCTTATGAAGTGGGTGCCCACTTAAGAATGGTTTGAGCTCTTTAGTTTTATTTCACTTAAGAGAAGTGAGAAACATTGGAATCGGAATTTACCAAAATCCAAAATGCAAAGGCTTACCAAAATATTGTTTTGGTTTTCAGTCTGAAGTGACTCTCAGAAATTGAGACTTTGAAATGAGGCTGTTTTCACCCGAATTGGAATAACTAAATGTTTATGTTTATGTTTATGTTTTTACGAAAATTGCAATTAGGCTATTTGCAGCGGTATTACGAATTTAAAGACAAAAGGCTTCACCTTCGGTTTACGAAACTTATTGATATACACTCTAACAGGTTTTGTTGATATGTTACTATATACACATGACTTTCCATTTTCCATATGAAAGAGTAATCCAACAAAAGAGGAACGAGAGCAATGGAAGTAGCTGGCTCAGAGTTTTGGTACTATCGATAGTGAGCGCCATCGATATTCGACGATAGTAAATTTTAAACCATCGATTATGTCGATAGTACCATCGATAGTCGTCGATACTATTGCGAAATATTTGTTTATTTTTTCCAAAACTCTTATCTTAGAACGGAACTCCCAGAAAAAGGGAGAAAAAAAGGAAAAAGAAAAAGGAAATGGGGTCAGTGACCCGTCAAACTTCAAGGCCCTTAAAAGCCAAGGAGTTGCTGGGATGGAGAAGCTCCCTACAGAGAGGCAACATCTGGAGGCGGGACGCGGCGGTGCGGAGGAGGATGCCAAGGCAACTTCTGCCAAAGCGGGGCTAGCCATAGAGCCACCGAACGGCGTGGAGAAGAAGACCTCATGGTCAACCTCTAAGGCAACCGACGGGGCCCCTAAGGTGAACCCTGGTCCGGTAGCGTCTCACTCGAAGCAGCGGAAAGGTTCCTATAAAGATAGGAGGAGAGCAGCCTTCATCCTAATGAGGGCGGACCCATCGGCGGAAATGAACCCGGACCAGGCCGAGGTTATAAAGTGTTAGATAAAGGGAAATACTGCCCGACTTCCAACCGGAAAAGACGGATGTGACGGGCTCGCCAAGGAAATCTCACAGAGCGCGAAAAGGCAGAGAGCAACGAAGGGAGGAGCCTCCCAAGCCAAGAAGAGAAAGGCCCAGCCGCCAATCCTTATTGGAGTCCTGGACAAAGATTATCACCAAGGACCTTTGGCGACGAGTGGTTAAAGAGTTGCATGTGTGCTTCGTGGAGGAGATTCTATAGAGCGAAGAGCCCCCACCAGAATGAGAAGACGCAGGATGGTATGAGGGTAGTGTTAAGGTAATTGCCTGCCAAGACGCGCGATCTGTACAGATCTAACAGTCTCTACTTTCTACGCTGGGGAGATCTACCCCGTAGCAAAGCTGGTGGCGGTTGACTGGGACTAGATCCCAAGTAAGCCGAGGGCGCGAGTATGGCTCACAGAAAAGACAGCCGACCCTAAAACCATCCTGACGATGCTTAAGATGTGCAATCCGACGCTTCCCACGGCGGACTGGAAAGTCGCCAAAATCGAGGAGGCGGTAGGACTGCGGAGGCAGGTCGTCCTCACTCTCAATACGGATCAAATACGAATCAAATACGGATTCGAGCACGTGACGGTCCGTATCTACAAATCCGATGAAAAGATTAATACAGGAGGTATCGAGCTGGAGGCAGAAGCATAAAAGCCAGACTTAAAGGAGCCGACCGAAGAGGGGCACCCGGAAGGAATGTCAAATCAATTTTGTGAGTCAATTCTCGATTTTATCCTAGGCTCAAATCTTCTGGTGGGTAATAGGGAGTCCTAGAGAAAAACTCTTTCTCAGACTATCGATACATAGAATTAGTGATCAATTTCCAGAACTTAAATCCACTTACAGTACGCAACCAGAGAAAAGTGAACTGGGAGTTATACAAAGAAAAATTAGAAAGATCCTTGGGATAACCTCCAACAAGGGACGTTGACAGCACGGAAGACCTGGATGCCATAATGGATACGCTAACGACTGTCAAAGAAGTCAAAGAAACCACCATGGTGGTCGCACCCACTTGCGCCCTTTAAGAAGCTCTCAAAAATGCACATTACCCCGGGTGCTCTCAAAAAGAAAAAAAATCCCGGAAAAGTAGAGACAGGAGGACAGCCTCTCCCTCCCAAACCAGCTCGAATACCTATTGAGTAATAGGTATCTCAGCTGGGCGATAAACAGCTTCAAGCCCTTCAAATCCCCAGGCCCAGATAGCAAATTCCCGGCACAATTAATCAAAGCTGGACCCAATCTGAGTTCATGGATCAGGAAAGCTTTCTCGGCAATTTTCAGAATAGGCATCGTGCCCGGAACGTGGTTGCGGACAAAGGTATTCATACCCAAAGCGGTAAAACCATCACACCTACCCCTAAGGATTTCAGACCTTTAAGCCTGTCGTCCTTCCACATCAAGACGATGGAGAGACTAATCAGCCTCCACATTAATCTTACTGTTGTTTTGTGTCATGTGGAGTTGCCTTAAACGGCTCCCCACACGCGTAGGTCCGAAGAAAGGGGTACTTCAAAGGCCTTGGCTGTGGCTAACGGAACGTTTTATTCTATAAATTCATACATTAGTTTACAATTCAAATATAAATCCTTCTTCTTACCGCAGTGTGCCCTCCTACAATCAACAAAACAATGAATGGCACTTTTTGGCGGCATTCACACTACCGCTATTAGTAGGCCCGTAATTCCGATAACTTGAAATACTACATTTCCTAATAATACTGACTTAACTATCGATAACAATGTTTTTGACCGTCGACATCCCCGACCCCGTGAAGACCCGCTTCACTCAAATCCAAAAACTCCAAGTTTAGAGACGGGCCGCAACATTGTCCAAGATAGTCCATTAGCTCCTCCATCCATCTCCATCAGCTCCGCTGTAAACCTCCTCCACGATGCCCTTGCGCCACTCTCGTCTGGGCAAGGCAGGATCGCAGACGAAGACCATATCGGATGGGCTCCGTTCCCTGGCACCACTTCTCGCGGCGCACAAGCGTAGGCAGGTACTCCATGGTGGGACTCCACATGGTCCCTCGGCGCGACTTCTTCCAGGGTATGGCGCAGCACTCGCTTGACGCAATGCACCATCTGCTCCCATACTCCGCCTCTGTATCCTCTCCGTCTCGAACGCGTCTCCAAATCGTCTGGCGTCCTTGTCGGCTCCCACGAAGTTCTTGCTCACCTCGTACACATCCGGGTCTCGATCGTCGTTACCATCTCTCCAAAGGAATCGTTGGGAACATCGATCTCCAACCTTGTCTGCAGCATTAAACACAAGCCGGACCTCACCGGGCTTGTTCGGGGTTTCGACACCGAATTGTGGCAAATTCCATAGCTTGTCGCTCTTCCCCGCGACCTCATCCGGCTGCAATTTCCTCGCATATCCTTTGGACACGTCCTTGATGATCCGATCGTATACTAGCGCCAACAGCCCGTTGCGCTTCAACTTCTCGACGTTGATCAGCCGTCTGTGTGCCATCTCGTAGCTCCGTGGCAGCACAGCGTGGTCATCCTTCCAGAGCAAACCCGTCTGGTCGCGACGCCCCACTTTCACCGTGGTGTCGTCGAGGATCCTTTGGGCCCGCGCGTCGTCGCTGGCTGCGACCGGTTGCGCGAGCTTCACACCAAAGCCTTCCATCTCGACGTAGTCCTCCACCATCTTTTCCATCGTGTCCTCCACTGACACGGCTAGAAGGCAGGACCTCGGTGACGGCGTAGTCGATTGTCCACTTACTGGCCCAAACACAACCCATCCAAGCTCGGTTGCGGCCGCGAACGGTCCCTCTCTGGCGAACCGCCTCGTCCTAAGTGGCAATCCTAAATGTCCATGGTCCAGTCCGATGAGCAACTTCGGCACCACGTTGCTGTAGGGTTTCATCGGCAGTCGCGAATCCTTATGAACGCCCTGGACATCTCGTCGACATAACGTCTGCATCGGCAGACTCAGGCTCGAAACGGCGTACACGTTCCTCAACGGGTGACGAGTGGGCTTCCCAGCTCCACTGATCTCCAGGCTCACCACGTTGGTAGGCTCCCTGCTTGCTCTTCCTCCAAACCATTGGATGTTCAGTTGTCGACGTTCGCCTTGCACTCCCAGATCCCTCCGTAGCTCATCGTCGATCATCGTGACGGAGGATCCTTCATCTAATAGCGCGTATGTGTCCACCTGGCGACTAGCTCCGTACAGCGTTACTGGCAGTATACGGAACAAAAGTCGGCCTCCTTTGACGTCAATGCTCAAGTTCCTCTGCATGGGCGCCTCCGCTGGCTGCGGGGCCCTTCTCTCCTGGCTGTTCCTGCGGACAGCCGACTCCTGGGTCCTCTCGTGGTCCCTGTAACCACCTCGTGGCGAAGACCTCCTGTCCGGGCTGCGTCTGGAAACTGGTGACATCTGGTTCCCTCCGTTGTGGCGCCTGAAACCACCTCGCTGCTCCGGCCGTCTTCGCCCTTCGTCCTCTTCATGTAGCAGACGGTGATGCAATCTGCGGCATCCGTTGATCTGGCACTCGCCATGCACATCGCAGGATCTGGCCGCATGCCCACTCCGTAAGCATGTGAAGCAGAGCCGATGCCTCTTCACCATGCTCCATCTGCCCGGTGGCGAAGCTCCAATGAATTCGCTGCAACTCGTCGTAGCATGTTGACCTTCACAAATTGGACAACCTCCATGCCGGTCATCCCGCTGCTCGTATCCGTTCTGGTCGACGCTCGCGTGTAGAACTCGACGCCTCGGCTCCTTTCCATCGACGTCCAAAATCGTACACACGATGTTCGCGTACTCCTGTAGCCACGCGCTGAAGTGCGCTACAGTGGGAAAGGGCTGGATCGATGCAGCGTGCCTGGCCCAATCCACTCGTTTGCTGGTGGGAAGCTTTGCCACAAGCTCCTCCATGAGTGTGGGGTTTCCCAGATGTTGCTCCGCCTTTGCCGACTGCAAGAAGGCCGTGAGGTTACTCACTCTGGTTGCGAAGGGGACGATCCTCGCCAGTTGCTGCTCCGAAATCGGCTGAACCTCTCGCACGCTGTTCAGCTGGCTGCGTATAAGCTGCTCCGGTCGGCCAAACCTAAACCGCAGCTGCTCCATCACGGCTTTGACGTTTGCAGGGTGAATCAGCAGCGACTTCACTGTCTCGCGTGCTTCATCCTTCAGCGCCTTCAAAAGCCTCTGGTTGTTCTCCAGATCCGTGCAGTTGTACGCTTGGGTCGTCTCTACAAATGCACAATTAAAGATGGGCCAATCCTCGGGCTGCCCTCCAAATATAGGCAAGTCCGGGAGCCTCCTTGGTCCATTAGCTTGGGTTCCATTCGGCGTCATCCAGGCGTAGGATCCAACAAATGGTGATGCAGTTGCTACGTTGTGGATGCTCCCGCCCGGTAGCGCGCATCCATGCGCTGTCTGCGCAACACTTGTAGCACACGGTGGGTTGCTAGTCGTTAGCAACGGTGGTCCACTCCAAGATGGCGGCAGCGTGTAGGTCCCACTGGTCGCACCGAAACTGCTATATGGGTCCGGCCCGACCCCGTTAGTTGGTGCCTCACCGTTCGATGTGGCGGTCCGCTCCACGATGGCGGCCGCTCCGACGCTCCACTGTTGGCGCCATTTGCGCTTGGGCCAACTGCGATTGGCGCGCAATTGGCGGTGCTTGCTGCGTCCATGGCTTTGACCTTCTTCAGCTCGTTCTCCAACGCCGTAATCCTCTCCAATAGGTACGCCGTGAGTGGCTGGCTCACCTCCGGCTCTGAACTCGCAGCTGCTGTTACAGTGCTCCTTGGTTGGGACGCTACTGTAGTCGCTGTAGTGGCTGGGCGAGAAATGGCCGCCGCCGTGGTTATGTTAACCCTTGGCGGGCTTTCTGCTGCACTACTCACTGGCTGCTGATCCGCTCGCGTTGTAGGTGTGGCTTCCCCTCCGTTCAGCCGGGAACTCCTCCTGGGGGAATGCTGCATCTCGAGATATCCAAATCCAAATATAATATGGTCCAAATATGGCGCTGCCCTAGCGCTCCAAAATGGCGCTGCCCTAGCGCTCCAAAGATGGCGGACCTGTGCCGTCTGGCTGCTGCCGCTGATGCTTGGCGCTCCTTGCGCCTCCTGCCCGCTGGTGCTTGGCGCTCCTTGCGCTTCCTATCCTGACGCTGGCTGCGTTTCCTAAACTGACGCCGGCTGCGTCCCCAGAACTGACGCTGGCTGCGTCTCCGTGTCGCTGGCTGCGACTCCGTCCGTACTCAGTGGTTTGGCGCTGGCTGCGCCGTCTATGTCGCTGGCTGCGACTCCTCTGCTAGTACGGGAACTGCGCTCCGTGCGCTCCTGGCAACTCTCTAGCTGGTCGTCGAGCCGTCCTCCAGCGCAAGTTGCCCTTGCAGTCTCCCTAGGACTGCGAATAAAAGCTGTTGTTTTGTGTCATGTGGAGTTGCCTTAAACGGCTCCCCACACGCGTAGGTCCGAAGAAAGGGGTACTTCAAAGGCCTTGGCTGTGGCTAACGGAACGTTTTATTCTATAAATTCATACATTAGTTTACAATTCAAATATAAATCCTTCTTCTAAAGCATAGTACTGAGTTGACGAAAATCCGCTGTCGAACGAGTGACAGCTGTCAAACTCCATATAAAAAAAACGGTGTAAAAAATGGAAGAAGAAGAAATTTTTGCCTTCTAGATTTTGCGGGTACTGAGTTGACGAAAATTTTTATTATCGATTTCAATGGTGTTGCCGGATAAAAAAAAATAAACAGCTGATCTCGGGGAGTTGAAAGAAATAATTTCATTTATTTCTATAGGTGTGACATGGAGGGTCAATTGATCAAACAAAAAAATAGGCGGCTCGAAAAATTTTCGACGCGCCAGTTTTCTTTTTCTTATTCAGCTCCTTAGCGGCGAAATACTTATGTATTTTTATGTATTTATGTTTATACAAAACACCAACATCCAATCGTTTTGAATTCATTTTTCCTTATTTGTTTTTTGTTTACAAACAACAGCTGTTCAGTATTACCATATTTCTTAATTTTTTTGGTCACACTAGCTCGGTAGCTGAATAAAGTGCGATATCGTTATCGGATTTTCAAAAGCGGATTTTCGTCAACTCAGTACTATGCTTTACCGCAGTGTGCCCTCCTACAATCAACAAAACAATGAATGGCACTTTTTGGCGGCATTCACACTACCGCTATTAGTAGGCCCGTAATTCCGATAACTTGAAATACTACATTTCCTAATAATACTGACTTAACTATCGATAACAATGTTTTTGACCGTCGACACTTACCATCAACCCAAATGATATCTCGGGATCACAACATACGTATAGGAAGGGCCGATCCACGGATACGGCACTCCACGAGATCAATACGTTCGTCGAAAAGTCATTTAGTGACAAGGAAAACGCACTCATTGGTTTTCTAGACATAGAAGGTGCGTTCAACAATATTTTGCCAAGTTCGATAACCAATGAGCTGACGAGACTAGGAATAGACGATCAATCCGTACGCTTTATAAAGCAGATCCTGGTAAACAGGACTGTTGAGGCGATATTAGGAGAAGAATCTATTCAAAGATACATCAGAAGAGACACTCCGCATGGAGGTGTACTCTACACCCTACTGTGGAACGTGGCGGTCAATAGCCTACTGCGGTCCCTAGAAGGTGGTGGTCGCAAAGTTATCGCTTATGCGGGTGATGTTGCAATTGCCTTCTTTAGGGCCTTTTAACCCTTTAAATCTTCAGGCCCAGATCGCATCTTCCCGGCCCAACTTACCAAAGCCAGTCCCAATCTGTGGTTATTGGTTAGGAAAATCTTCACAGCAATTTTCAGAACAGGTATCGTGCACGAGACGTGGTTGCTGACGAAGGTTTTTTTTATACCCAAAGCGGGAAAATCATCGCACTGCTCACCTAAGGACTTCAGACCAAGAAGTCTGTCGAGCTTCCTCCTCAAGACAATGGGGAGACATATTAGCCTCCACGTTTATCTTACCATTAACCCAAATGATATTTCGGGATCCCAGCATACGTATAGAAAGATCGATCCACGGAGACGGCTCTCCACGAGATCACTACGTCCGTCGAAAAGGCACTTAGTGATAAGAAATACGCGCTTTTTGGTTTTCTAGACATAGAAGGTGCGTTCAACAACATCCTGCCATGTTCAATAATAAATGCGCTGATAAGACATAGGAGTAGACATAAAACCGTGAGGAAAAATGTTGAGGCGACACTAGAAGGAGAGTCTATTCAAAGATTCGTCGGAGGCGGTTAACAACCTACTGCAATCCGTAGAGGGTGGTGGATGCAAAGTTAATGCTTATGCGGATGATGTCGCAATGGCCTTCACTGGAAAAGATTACATAGACTCTATGCGATCGCATAACGAACAAACTGAGGGTTCTCAGAATGGGCAGATAAGTACGGGCCAGGAGAGAATCCATCCAAGACCGAACTTATCCTCTTCACTAGGAGATACAAACTACCAAGTTTAAAGCTTCCATGCCTATCAGCGGATTCTTTTTCACTCAGTGGTAACGCCAAGTAAATAGGAATTACGCTACACAGAAAACTGAACTGTAAGCTATTTAGCTTCTGTTGCGGGAATTCGAAGCTTTTTAGGCGGGATACGCTAGAAACCCGAGTCAATCCGCGAGCGAGAAAATTGGAGTGCGAAGACAGTTTTTCTTTGTATGACTCTTTTTGCTTCTGGATTTCGTCTTTCACTGCGAGGATGCCCACATCCCGGTAGATGTTTTCGTTGCGAACATACCAAGGTGCCCCTGTGATAGTTCTCAAGATTTTTGATTGTGCGCGCTGTATGATGTCTATGTTGCTGCTGCTCGCGTTCCCCCACAGCTGGGAGCCATACGTCCAGATTGGCTTTAGGACTGAATTGTACAGTAGTAACTTGTAGTCCAGGCACAGTGGCGATCGTGAGTTTATGATCCAGTGGAGGCTGCTGGCTTTCAGCATCTTTTTGCATTGCTGCTTGCGCCAGGTAAGTCGTCTATCAAGGTAAACGCCAAGGTACGTTACGTCGTTAGCTTGAGGGATCTGCATACCGTTTAGTAAAAGCGGAGGGCATGTTTGTCTATAAAGAGTAAACGTTATAAGTTTACACTTTTGTTCGTTTATTTTAATGCGCCAGTCGGACAGCCACCTTTCCACTATTGTGAGATGATTAGCCAGTTGGGTTGTTGCCTGCGTTGGGCATCTGGAGCGACTACGGATAGCGGTATCGTCGGCGAACGTTGAGGTTGTTAGTTGTGCGCTCGTAGGAATATCCGCAGTATACAAAACATATAGACACGGGCCGAGTGCGCTTCATTGTGGAACTCCAGCTTCGATGGTGTAGTCGCCCGAAGTAGCTGCGTTGCATCTTACTGAGAATACCCTATTGTAGAGGTATAATTCCAGTAGCTTGTGGGTGTATGTTGGCAAATACGTTTTAATTTTGTGCATGAGTCCGATGAGCCAAACTCGGTCGAAAGCTTGAGATACGTCGAGGAAAATGGCGCTGCAGTATTCTCGCTGTTCGAAGGCTGAGCGTATTTCGAATGTTAATCTGTTCACTTGTTCGATGGTTCCATGGTTTCTTCGAAAGCCAAATTGGTGTGCCGGGATAATATTGCAAGCTTCCAGATGTGGTATTACGCGAGTTAACAAGCATTTTTCAAACAATTTAGACAAACAAGATAGAAGGCTTATTGGTCTGTATGATGACGGAATTGTGTGGTCTTTTCCAGGCTTCGGTATACTTTAAATGATGGATTTCTTCCACTTTTTTGGGAAATAGCCAAGATTAATGATTCCATTAAATAGTTTGCAGACGACCTCTATAGCGCATTTTGGAAGTTCGATCAGCATCTTTGGGGTTAATAGGTCACCACCGGGAGCCTTTTTTGGTTTTAGCTCTCTTATGACTTTTTCGATTTCGTTCGGCCGGAATGAAGGTGCGGCTGGCTGAGGGGAGGACTCTGGCTGAATTTTTGGCAGGAGAAATGAATTTGAGGCTGGGTTTGGCTGGAAGACACTTTGGAGATGTGTGGCAAATGTTTCAGCTCGGTCTTAGTCGCTGCGAGCCCAGCATCCCGAAGAGTTTCTTATCGGGGTGGTCGTTTCAATTGGGGCGCTAAGATTTGGGTGGGCCCTCCACAGGGGGTACTTTGTGCTTGTTGGCGAGAGATTCTGGATGTACCTCAGCTGTGCATTTTCTTCCTGTTGGTGAAGAGCCTGGTCGAGTGATCGGGTTGCTTCCTTAAGGCGTTGTTTTGAAGCTGGTGATCTGCTGTTTTGCCAATCATGACGCGTGCGCCTCTTTTCTCGCACAAGCTGTTCGATTTGCTGATTAGATTTAAAGTGTTTGTTTCGGTCTACATCTTTCCTATGAGGAGTAGAGATTTTAGCCGCCGCAACGAGTACTTCTTCCAGGGCGCTCGTAGTGTAGTCGATGTCCGATTCCATGTTAAATTCCGGGGCGAGTTCTATGTGGGCACTCACGTACTTTTTGTATTTTAGCCAGTTTGTTTTTGGCGTCATCAGGCTGAAGAATTGTTTGTTGTTTTCTTCATTTATAACAGGGCAGCAAGGGCTAACAGTGGTACAGTCGGTAACCACTCTTTCACTCCAAGCAGTGATAGCACTTTAAATTCCTAGTAAAGTAATAGTTGTAATTCATAATCAAATCTTAAATCTTAATATGTTCACACTTTTCGTCCGCTTCCCTCGAGTGTCAAATAGAAAAGAAAGCTTAGGCACATGGTTACCGGCTGAGTTAACAGAGATTCAACACCCGCTTAAACTATCGGTTCTGCAACTTCGGCGTTGCCGGATGCCGCGGGAGCAGTTTTGCTATCTATCGTTACACTCCCCACTTGTATATTCCGCCAGGGGTCTGGCGTGAAAAATACGTTTTTTTCGCTCAGTGAATTCTCGGCTCTCATTTTTATTCTCTGCTACGCACACACTCAAGTTTTAAGCATGTGTTAGTTTTGCCCACCACTGATCTAGAGGTAGCGTATTCATTAACAACTGACTCTTACATTCTAGCGGTGCGCAGTTTTATGGCCCGACGAGGTGCCTAGTGGAACTCTGAAGCGACAACGGCACCAATTTTCAAGAGAATTCACTGAGCGAAAAAAACGTATTTTTTTATTTCATTTTTCGTTAATTCAAAAGTTGGTTTATTTTAAAAATAGCTTTGCTAGCAACATTTCTAAAAAAAATGAAAAACTACGCTTCCCTATCTATATTCTCCATGAAGAAAACTTTTTCCAACCCAATTTCTGAGAAAATTTTTCGAAGTGGAAAAATTTTGATTTTTAGTTTGGGCTGTCAAATGAATCAAAATGAGAGCAAATGAGAGAGCTTCTAAAAAAAATTTGAGAGTGCTTACACTGTCAGTGTGCCGGCAGCGCTGCGGTAGAATTTCCTACCCTATACTCGCGTGCTATGTAAAATGAGAGTTTGCCCACCACTGCTCTAGATGTATTGCCCTTGTAGAGAGGCAGGTGAAGAGCACGCCGTATCGTTTCTCTGAACAGCGTCTGACCCGCACCATCAAAGGCCCAAAGTAGTCCACACCCGTGTAGCTAAAAGGTCTATGAAAGGCTGCTACTATTGGATAGGGAAGTTCCGCCATGCGCCATGCGGTTTGGGGGCCGCCTGTCGGTTGTTGCATTGCTGGCAGGAGCGTCGTATCCGAGCAAGGGTGGATCTCAGCTTTGGTATCCAAAATTTTTGTCGTAGTTCGTTGACCACCGTCTCGTGGTTAGCTTGCAGAAATCTTCGGTGAAATTCCTTTATTATAAGCTGCGTAATGTGGCTGCCGCAGGGGAGTACGACGCGGTCGCTTCCCTTGAGCATCTTGGCACGTTCATCCAGCTTTAATATTCCATTGGAATCCATATACGGTCCCAGCTTGTATAGTAGGTTATTCTTCTTCAATGGTTTTTCATGTAAAATTAACCGTTAATCCGACTGGTAGTACTCCGCCTGAGCGTACGACCACAGAAGACTCTCCGTGACCCTGGTATCTTCTTGTAATGGCTGATTTTCGATGTCCGATCATTGAAAAGCCTAGGCCTTCCATCGCCTCATACACCATACCGTTCTCGCGGTACTCCATAGCAGACGGTTCCAGATTGAGAACCGCTCGGAGTCTATGAGGGTCGCGCGTCCTACGTATGTGAATTCGTCACATACGCCGATGAATTGCGCTTTCAATTCCATTCCTGATTCGTCTCCTTCTTCCACCTCTGTCAGAGGCCAGAATTGCCTCTCTTGCCAAAGAAATCTCGGCCCGTTCAACCAACGACTTTCTTGGTTGAAATCAGGTCCGTTGTTCCACTTAGTGGCGTCGTCTGCCACGTTCTCGGAGGAAGTACCGTCTAGAATCTCGATCACACGGAATGCTACAAATTGTTTGTACTTCCTCTGGTCCGATCGCAGCCAACTCAACACGGTCCTCGAGTCGGTCTAGAAAGTCCGTGTGCTCAGCTTCGCGCCAAGTGAAAGCTCCAGAGTTTGAGCTAACCTCGCTCCAAGCACTGCTCCCATGAGTTCAAGCCTTGGTATGGATGTCGGTCTTAGAGGGGCTACCTTGGTTTTGCTGCCCAGTAGACTGCAGTGGATACCTGCCTCATTTTGAAATCTTATACAACTCACGGCGGCAAATCCATTCTCGCTTGCGTCCACGAAGGTGTGCATCTCCACTTCTGAATCCATCAGCGACTCCTTCATGTGGCATCTTGGGATGGTCATTTTCTCAACGTCCGGGATATACCGAAGCCATCGCTTCCATTTAATCCATTCTGCCTCAGGTATGGGGTCATCCCAGAAATATTATTTTTGCATACATGACGTAGAAGGATATGAGCCCTAAAGGATCATATATAGACATCAACACACTGAGAAACTCTCGTTTGGTGGGTCGTTGCCTTCCTTGGATATGGCGATATCGTGGGGATACACGGTAGCGGATGAGATCTTCTTTCGTGTCCCACCACATTCCCAGCACCTTCTCGGTCTGTCCATCCGTTGTTTCGTCTAGTCTCACTAGCGTGGGTGCTCCTTCGCCGAGTGCGCTTAATACTTCTCTGGAATTTGATACCCAGTTTCGAATGAGGAATCCGCCCTGAAGATGAATGTAGTGGACCTGACGCGCGAGGCTTACAGCTTCTTCCTCCGTGTCGACGCTGTCAAGCATGTCGTCTACATAGTGACTCTCCAGTATGCACTAAACAGGGTATTCCTTCTTGAAAGACTCTGCAGGTAATGACGTAGTCCCAAACGTCATTACCTGCATGGCGTAGTTCTCTCTCCGTTGTGTGTATGGGTCTATAAATACAAAGCGTTGGTATCTCTGATCTTCTGTGTGTATCCTGACCTGATGAAACATCTCGGCGATATCGCCGCCGATAGCAATACGTTTCTCTCTAAACCTGTTAAGTATTGGTACCAACTGCGCTAGTTGGTCAGGTCCCTTCAGCAGCATTGTGTTCAGCGAGATTCCTTCCGTCTTTGCGGCCGCATCACAGACTACGCGAAGCTTTCCTGCCTTGTTCACGTTTAGCACGGGAAAGATAGGTAGATACCAATATGGCTTTTCCTCAGCTTCTTTCGACGTAATAGGCCGTGCATATCCTTTCTTCACGTACTCATCTAGCTGCCAGAGAATTTTCTTCGCAAGCTCCGGCTCGCGAGTCAATTTCTGGTACAGGCATCGTGCCCGTTTTAGGGCTGTCGGTAAACTGTGCGGCAGCTTGTCATCTGTATACCTCAAAAGCAGACCTGTTTCAAATCGGCCATTTATACGCCCCGTGTTCTTCTCCAGCTGCTGTATAGCCAACTGGTCATCATTGGATACGCTCTTGCTATTCATCTCCGGTCTAGGACCGCCGTCCGACCACATGCACTGCTCAAGCAGGCGCAAGATTTCCTTGTTCTCGTCAGCTTCACATGCACATATGTGAAACACGTGGTAGTTTGAGGTTATGTCATCACCCACACTGTTGGAGCTTCTTCCTTTATTCGTCCATCCCAGGCGGGTCTTCTCAGCGATCGGTTCTTCTGTTGTGCCTTCCTTGGTGCGAAGCACGCGCCCCAGTTTGCAATTATTGAGACCTATCAGGAGCCTGGGCTGTGCTGAGTCGTATCCGGACAGTGGTAGATGTCGAAGGTGTGTGTGCTGTGCTTTCAGGTGGGTTATATCCAACGACTGTGACGGGAGATCAAGAGACTGGACCGAGTGAACGTCGCGAAGATCATATAGCTTCGTTTGGCCAATCCCGGAGATCCTTAAGTCGAGTCTGACCGAGGTGTCCTCATACCGGTGCATGCCGGCAGTCCACTGCATACATAGTGGCTGCGGTTGTCCCTTCACTCCAAGGTCTTTAAGCAAAGGGGCGTCGATCAAGGTTAGAGATGACCCGTCGACGATGAAGGCATACGTGTTAACTTGCCTACCATTTCCATACAAAGTCACTGGCAATACCCTGAATAGCATTTCCACACCCTCTTGTCGGTGTGCATGAAACCTAGCTTGGACGGGAGCCGTGCTGCCGCGATGCAACAGGGGATGATGGATTGGGGACTCCGCATCTTTCCACCTTGTGGCTCTGGAAACATCTCCAGCACAAGCCACACCGTCGAGTAGCATTCCAGCGATCGCGGATCGTCATTTTCAGGAATGCTGGACATACCTGCAGGGTTCTGCAATTGCGGTTGCACAGCCGACAGCCTTGGCGCACAGTGTGTGTATGTACCGTGCCCCTTCTCTCCGTTCTTGACGACGAGCTTGGGACTTTCACAAGGCTCGCTCCTTCTGCCATCTGCGATAGCCACGTACTAAACTCTGCCAACGTACACACTGTTAGGGAGGCTTTGTGCATTCCCCAAAACGTCTGCACCATCGATGGCAACTAGCTTCTGCGTGAGCGCTGGGTTGTTTAAGTCCTAGTAAAATAATAGTTGTAATTCATAATCAAATCTTAAATCTAAATATGTTCTCACTTTTCGTCCGCTTCCCTCGAGTGTCAAATAGAAAAGAAAGCTTAGGCACATAGTTACCGGCTGAGTTAACAGAGATTCAACACGCGCTAAACCATCGGTTTTGCAATTTCGGCGTTGCCGGATGCCGCGGGAGCAGTTTTGCTATCTATCGTAACAGCTTCAACTGAAATACTTTTGATAGAGCTAAAAAAGCTGTTATCGCGGTTTATACTTGCCGCAAGGCCATTTGGCTTAAATGGGTTATGTCTCCAAAAATAAGATGGCTAGTAAGATGGCATTTCACAGCGGGTACTAAACGTTTTCTCTTCTACGAGGTAGTGGTCTTGTGGCGTGCCATAACAAACTCCATATGTAGGAAAAGGTTTAGGAAACGCAAAGGATGGCGGCGGTTTGCATAACAGGCAATCTTCATACCACACCAACTGACGCCCTAGACGTTGATCTTCAAACTCTATCTATTGCCTGGTCATGATAGCCGCGATATCAGCAATCCGGTTACGCGAGGATGGTCTATGGAAAAGAACTAACTATGAACACCCCAACCTTCCATAGTCCATAGTTACAACCTTCTCCTTCAGAAGAAAGAACTATTAGCCGTTCCCCTGACAGAATTCACGGAGATCGCTCCATGCGGACTCGTTGCCTTCATCCGGATAGCTGGATGGGACCGCATGCGCCTTAGGAAGGGTAGACTTCTTGAGGTACTTTAGTGGATAGGAAGGAGAGGTTCCCCTGCAGGACCTCTGCCCATGCGGTATAACAAGGAGCCTTAGCGGCTCAAGTGGATTCGGGAGGTAATAATGACTGGCCCCCCGCATCCCTCGTATTTTGTACTTCCTAGTGAAGAGGACAAGCTCGGTTTTGGATGGGTTTACTCCTAGTGCGTTCCAATCTGCCAATTTTGAGAGGATTCTCAGTTTGTCCGTTGAAACAGTTTATCGTCCAACTGACATTAAGGAGGTATTCGAGTTGGTTCGGGATGGGAGAGCTGCCCCCTCGCTCTGCGTTTCCTGCGTTGTCTTCTCCTTGAAACACTCTGGGAAATGTTCATTTGGAAGATCCTCTAGGGTTTCCGTTCTGGACGTGGTCCAGCTACCATCCGAGGTTTTGATGTATCCTACCTAAGGTTGTGGTTGCGAGGACCTTACTGAGTCAGGAAGCCTTTGATGTTCCCTGAATCCCTTCGTGCTGAACCATGGTCTTTTTTGCTTCCTTTTTGTACTCCTTGAGGTCCGCTTTATACGCCTCCCAAGCTATTTATGTGTTTGCTAGCAAAATTTATGTCTTTTCGGGGCTTGGTTTTAAAGGCCCCAAGTGTTTGCGACCACCATAGTGTTTTGTTTGACTTGCTACTCCCCGATCTACTTTTGGGACAATTCATTCAATAGGCGAATGTCCCCAGTGTAGCTTTCGAAATTGACCACTAATTCTATGTATCTATGTCAAGTACTTCCCTCCTGTTCTTGATGATGAAGGTTTTTCTTTGCGAGGATGCAGGCTCGTCTTGTTTCCTGTTGTCACCCAGGCAATAATTCAGCAAAGCCAATTTGATGCCTGGGTCGGCCGGCTTTTCGGTGATCCGTACCATACGGTGAGCTTTTCGCGCCCTCTGCTTGCGTGGGATCTCATCCCAGTCAACCCACTCCAGCTTTGCCTCAGAGGAGATTTCTACAAGCGTGGCCATTATACGCTTTTATAATTCTACTGAACACGTGTCTTTGCATACCTTGACGCTACTCCTACGTATTCGTATTATGGTGCGGGTCCTCCGCTCTTCACCATCTCATCCATGAAGCGCCCATGCAACTCGTTTACCACCTTTCGCCAAGGGTTCTTAGGGATCAGCCCATCCTTGGATCCCCTGTCCAGGACTCCAATGAGCATTCTTACCTTCGTGACCTCGGCGAATGAATGGTTGGACGGCTGCAGCTCGAACTTCATCTTCTTCACTTGGGGCGCTTCTCCTTCCATAGACCTCTGCCTTTTCGCACTCTGCGCGATCTCCTTGATAGAGCCTACTTCAGCCAGGTTCTTCAGCTGCAGCTTCACTCCAGCCTTTGCCGGTTGGAAGTCGGGCAGGATCTCTCTTGCCTGCGTTTGCCTTAGGGGCCCCACCGGTTGGTATAGAGGTCTTCCTCTCCACGCCGTTCCGTGGTCCCATGGCTAGCCCCTCTTAAGAGAAAATGCCTTGGCACCCTCCTTCGCACCGGCGCACAGTAGTCGATTCGGCCTCGCTAGCGGCATTTAATTAATAACTTATAAAATATTAGATATATCTTCAATCGGTTTTTTATTTTTATTTTGTTTGTTACTCAATTTCCTCATTATGTGGAAATTATCATTTGCATTATGTGGACAAAAATGAAATTTATAATGTTTTTATACCTTTTATACTCGAGAGAGAGAGAATGCTGCGAAAGCAGGGTTGAGCGTAATGATCGAGGAGAGTAAAATCAATCTAGCTTGGGTAACGAAGGTGAGCGGAACTTGCTGTGCTGTCGCATCAATAAAAAAAGTTTAAAGGACAATGGAGGATATTCCCGGTCATCCGTCATCAGAAGTGGGATCGCCTTCGCCACAAGAGCACAGCTCCGCTCAATATATGGCAGCGCTGGAAGAGCAAAACAAAAATCGGAGGATTTTTTATAAAAACCATGCAGGCGCCAAGAGCCTCGGCGTCAGATTGGAAAACCACGCATGTGACACTGCCCAAATTTAATCCCGATGGCGCTGGAACAGATGCATCAGCATGGTGCACTACAGATAATACACTCGAATAAGTAATAATAGCCTTAGTAATAGCACTAAGCAAAGCGCTGGAAGGCAGTGCTTTGCAATGGCTGTCCCAGGTTTGCTTTGCTATCCTGGATGCTTTGCATCACCTGGACCCAATTCAGGGAACTGTTCATCCAGCGATTCGTGGGCATTGAGACAACGGCTGCCGTACTGATTCATGTTTTAAACGGGCATCCCAGATCTGGAGAAAGCTTTGCAGAATATGGCAGTCGCATAGTTACGCTGTTGCTATCCAAGTGGAAATCGACGGAACTGGAGGAGATTGCGGTGTCAATAGCGTTAGCCCACATGACACAAATTGACAATAATTTACTGCGTTGGGTTTTTACGACGAATGTAACGACGCGTAATAAACTACAGCGGCAGCTGCAGGCTTACGCCTTCAAGAAGCGCAAAAACGAAAACGATGAAAATTCGTCAAGCTCGGACAAGAAGAAACCACGAATGCAGTTGCAGATAAAATGCCATTATTGTGGAAAGATTGCCCACAAAATTTATAGAAAACATAAATTAAATTTAACATAAATAAATTTAATTTAGAAATCTTGTTCCATGTCGTATTAGACAATTATTTAAAGCATGACGTAATGATTGGTCAAGATATATTTTATCTTGCTATTGGTGTTATGATCAAAACAGACAAACTTAATATTTACAAAACTAAGATTATTAGTGCTATACATAAAGATACATCTAATTTTGAAAATTTACTTGATACCAACATAGAATTAAGTGAAATTGATAAATGTAAACTAAAAAACGTATTGCAAAAATACTCTGGCAATTTTATAAATGGAATCCCAACTAAGCTCGTAACCACAGGGGCATTAGAAATTCGTTTGATAGACGAGAATAAAACTGTTCAAAGGCGCCCATATCGACTTAGTACAGATGAAAAGCTATTAGTAAGGGAAAAAATAGTCCAAATGATTAAATCCAATGTGATTCGTCCAAGCAATTCGCCATTTGCAAGGCCAATGCTATTAGTTAAAAAGAAAGATGGCAGTGACAGGCTGTGCTTTGATTTTCGTGAGCTAAATTCAAACACTATCTCAGATAAGTACCCGTTGCCATTGATTTCTGATTAGATAGATCACTTGCGAGGCGGAAAATATTTTTCCACTCTAGACATGGCCAGCGGATTTTAGGTAGGTATAGTTCTGAGAGTCTTGTCTGAGGCAGGTTTTACATTTAATATAAAGAAGTGCGCTTTTCTTCGTACAGGAGTAGAGTACCTTGGATTCTATATTAAAGATAGTGAAATCCAACCGAATCCAAGTAAGATAGAAGCCCTGACTGCTCTGTCGCCACTATCCTCTGTAACGCAGTTAAGGCAATTTATAGGCTTGGCATCGTACTTCAGACAATTTGTCAGAGCAGATGAAGCCGCTTTATGAGTTGACCTCCAAACTTAAAACGTTTGTTTGGAAAGAGGAGCATGAGCAGATCCGACAAAAGATTATTAAAGTACTGACGACTGACCCTGTACTGACAATTTTTGATCCTGAGCTCCAAATCGAATTGCATACAGATGCCAGTGCTGATGGGTATGGCGCAATGCTAATACACAAAATAGACGGTAAACAAAGAGTAGTTGAATATTTTAGCAAACGCACAACAGTATCCGAAGCTAAATATCACTCATATGAGCTAGAAACCGAGCTTACAATGCAGTGAAACACTTCAGACATTAATCTATATGGTAGAAAATTCACTGTATACACCGATTGCAATTCACTAAAAGCGACACAAAAGAAAGCTGAATTGACCCCAAGAGTACACCGCTGGTGGGGGTATTTACAGGCTTTTGAATTTGTCATTGAGTATAGAAAAAGTAGCCAAATGGCACAT